CCCCTCCCACCCCTACTTACCAGCTCCGAGTCCAGGTGCAGCTCCCTGCTGCAGCCACCAGGGACTGTCCAAATCATCAAAGCTCTCCGAATCTTTTCCGAAGATTCGGAGAGCTTTGAATCGATTTGGACCTTTTAACTGGTCCCCTGATTCGATTCAGATTCTGAGATTTAGCCACTGAATGGTGCCAAATCTTCTCCGAATCAAATCACCACCAGAAGCTTCACACAGCCATAGCATCTGGTTAAAAGTGCCAACTGCTTTGAGTTATTTATTGCTATTGAGTTAGTTATTTAGCAGAGTGTGATTGGCCAGCCCGCAGATGGGGCCCTGGCCAGCCTGGGTCATGGGACAATCTGATCCCGGTGGCAGTGGGAGCTGTCTGCTCGCACCCTTGAATGAGCCACTGGGATCAGATTCTCCTGCAACCCAGCCTGGCCCAGGCTGCTGTTCCCTGCCACCCTGCTTCCCTCTCCCGTGACCCAGCGTGGCAGGCAGCAGAGAAGCCCACAGGGATCTTCCCACCACTGCTCCCTGCACCTTGCCCTGGTGCTGCACATCCTGCACATGGGGCTGCACTGAGGGCAGTAGCACAGGGCTGCACCCCTCAAGCCAGCGGCACGTACAGGAGGGCAGAGTGGGGCAAGCAGTGGCGGGTGAGGAGATCCTTGCGTGGCTTCTCTGCTCCCTGCTGCACTGGGTCACAGGGGAGGGAAACAGAGCAGCAGGAAACAGCGGCAAGTGGACCTGCTGTTCCCTGCCAGCATGAGTAGGGCAGCTCCCTGCCAGCACGTGCACCTCTGGCAGGGCTGGGGGCCAGCTCCGGCTAGGGGAGCAGGGGCTGTGAAGGGAGAAGAAGAGGCACAAGCAGGGCCAGGGGGTTGGCAGGCTGATACACAGCCATGGAAAACCATGGTTACTCAAAACTGTATACTGTGGTAGCCAAAATGGTATACAGAATATTAACTGTGGATACTCAAAACTGTGGTTGGCAAAACCGTGGTTGATAAGGGAAACCTCACCCAGTGTGACTTCTGTTAAGCTCTACTTGCTCCATGTGTTTAATTCTGGCTAGTGGCATCTCAAGCTTTGAAAAAGGTGTTTTTGAAAATTCAATAAAATATCCCACTTTGTGAGGGCTGTGCCAGTCTGGGGGCTTTATGCTGTTCCCATCAGGTTTGCGCTAGCCATTTCCTGCCTCTATCTCCTACTTCCTATTCATTTTACTTACCTGAAAACTGTGCTTTTTGCTTATCACTGCACCCTTTTTACATATGGACTTCCCCCTATTTACTGTCTGTCTGGGGATAATAGGAGTACTATAAAAGTAGTTTAATGTATTATCTATGTACAGTTGTAATTAGCTGCTTGAAGAGGTAGAGCGATACTAAGGAATATTTATAGGAGGGGTCCCAAATTGCATGGATATGGTTGGGCCTATGCTGTTTGAACCAAACCTAGTAACTGGGAAGGGAAACTAATTGAGATCAGAAGCTTAGTGTGCAAAGATGTCTGTTTTGCCTGCTGGGACTGGGAACCACTGTACTGTACAGGCTGGAATGTTTATTTGTTTGCTTTCTCATCGTTACAGCTGATGAACTCAGTGGCTTGAAATGTGCATGAGCTGCAAGAAAGGAGAGACTTTTTCAGGCAAGAGACGGGAAATGCAGAGGGAAGGAGTGAAGAATCCCAGATGATGGGCACCACCTAGTGCAACATCAGCGAACATTCGAAAAAGTCATCTTACATTTCTGAAGTGAAAGGAGCAGAAAGCAAGTTATGAGACAAAGGAATAATTGAGTAGGGGTATGGTATTAAGCAGCATCAACAGGCAAGAAGGACGGTATATAAGAAGAGTGGTTGACAGCTGGCGAAGCATGTGTAGGTGTTGTGTGGGTAGAAAGCTTAGAATTAATTAAGTCCCTGATGAAGCTCTGTAGCAAGGGAACTCAGTTGCTTATTAAGTTAACCAACTGCTTAGCTAACAAAAGGACTTCTAAAAACACTTGCTTGTAAAAGAACTGCCTGCAATGGGATGCAGGTTAACTGGAGTGTTGCTATAGAAGGGTACAGAGCTCCCACCCTTATCCCCTTATCCCCCTTAGATCAAACCCACCCATGTCACATATGTAGATTGCAAATGTTTTAGGGCAGTTTCTATTGTTGCTTACAAGGCAATTGTTTCTAACAGTTGTGACTGATCCTTACATACTAAATAATGAACTCTGAGAGAGACTCTTACATGGGCATTCAGGATTGGTCCGGAGAGATCATGAGTGACCGGTGCCTCCTGAATCTGGGGGAGCACCCGCAGAAGCTGCCGATGGTGGCAGCCCTGTCAGGGGGGGCACTAGCCCTGCCAACAGCATCGGTGTCAGCTGTCGGGGGGGCACTGGCCCCGTCAGGGGGGGCACATGCACCCCCTACCAGTTGCCTATGGGAAAGGTAGATGTTGATAACAAGATCTCCACTTGAGTGAAGGTTTTAATGTAAAAGTAGAAGAGGGCAGGTTGTAAGCAGGGTTGGGTGTTGTGCAGCATCAATGGGCTCAACCCTGAAGAACTGAAGCATTCATATATAGAGGGGTATCTCACAGCTACAGTATAGCCATAGCATGACCATTTAACAGCTTGTGCTATTATGAAGTGTGATCCCATCTTGATCATATATCATCCAGTGGGACAAAAGTTCATATCTGGAATATGTCCTTTTGAGACAGAAGGTGTTGCATCATTTAGGTTTACCTTGCTAATTTTAGACATGTGCATTTCTATCCATCATGTTACAAAGTTAACTGCAAACTTTTTGCTCATTTCAATTTAGATCCAGGCCTAATACACACTGCAGATAGAATGCAGGAATTGCCATAAGGATAATGCCAGCAGCCAGCCGACTCACGTTTCTCTACCTATCAGGCACAACCTTCAGCTGCATTGCAATAGGTTCTCCCCATTAAAAGAGGAAGAAAAAGTTGCCAGATTTCATCACTGCTAGGAGAAAGGAAGTGTAACAGGGAACCCAAACCTTGTCATCTCTTTGCAATAGAGGGAGAAGAGAGGGGAACTGACCGCTTCCATGAGCTGAACATTTGGGACTCACAGGGAAAGGGCGTGCATCAAAAGAGACTCAAGCCTGGAGGCCAAGAGCAGCTAAGAAGCCAGGAAAGACTGCAAAGCAGGGGAAGCCAAGAAGCCTATTAATAGACACCTGGACAGCTCTTTCTTCCTTAGGGGCAGTGGCCAAGTGACAAACAAAGGCAGGGCGTAAGGAATATAAACCTGCCCCAAGCTGGGAGGGGAGGAAGGTTCTAGGACAGTGTTTCTCAACCTTCTAAATAGCAAGAACCCCCTATCTTCTGAAAAATTTAGTAAGTACCCCAACACTCAATTTTCCAGGGGATTTTATATTTACAGACTAATGTATGCCATATGTTGGAAGAAAGGCTGTGTGTATAAGGCCACGATATGACAGATTCATAGATGTTAGGGTCGGAAGGGACCTCAATAGATCATCAAGTCCGACCCCCTGCATAGGGACCTTTAGATTTTCAGTCTAACGCTCTCCCAACTGAGCTATTTCAGGTGTGGTAAGGTTTGGGTATGTCTGATCTGATTTGGGATGTCTGATCTGGTGTGAGTAGGGTTGCCTGGGCTAGAGGTGATGTCGGCCAAAGCTAGGAGGGCTGAACCCAGTGCCATGCAAATTATTGGCAAAGCACACCAAATTATTACTGGGGAATTTTAAGTGCACGCAGCATGCCAAATTTTTTACCATACTTTTAACAGGAGGAAGGGGCATGAGAGAGAGGAAAAGAGAGAGAGAGACAGACAAGGAGGCAGCTGCTGCCAGCCATAGAGCCTGGGCTGTTCCCAGCAGGTGGCTGGGAGGCTGCAAGCCCTGCTTCAGCATCACACGCCTTGGAGCAGACGGTGGGAGGGGCCCTGAGGCAGCGCAGCCTGGAGAAGCCCGGTGCCACTGCCAGCCCCTGCCTATAGCCAACCAGGGCTCGGGGCAGCTGCAGCAGGCAGCAGGCAGGCTGCAAACAACTGCACTGGGATCCGCAGCTCCAGCATCCACTCCATGCTGGAAGTGACTGCACATGCACCTCGGAGTGGGGATAGGTATCTGAGGCAGCACAACCCTCCCCCACTCTCTGCTCTGAGGTGTGCATGCAGCATGAAGCTGATGCCAGGGCTGTGGAGTCCAGTGCAGCTGTTCGCAGCCTGCCTGCTGCAGCTGCCCAGAGCCCAGACTGGCTACAGACAGGGCCAGCAGTGACACCATGTTTTTCCTAGCGTTCAGCGGCGGCACTGCGGGGACAGGTTGGGGAGGACTACGGTGAATATTGGGGTGGCAGCAGCCCCCCTCCCATTACCACAGCCTGCCCTAAGTGCTGGGAAAAGCCCAGTGCCACTGCCAGCCCCAGCCTGCAGCGGCAGCCTGTGCCCTCCTGCACACAGTGAACTGTGTGGGCCAGCTCACGGGCAATCCCCACAGTGCAGGAGGGAGCAGGGCAGCGTCCTGCCCCTACCACACTCCCTCCTGCACTGTGTGGGTCTCAGTCTGCCTCCCCCGCCCCCCTAAGCCCAGGCAGGATAAAGAAAAAAACTTACCTGCCTGTGGCTGGGTCGGTGGGGAGTGCACCAGTATCTGTGTGCCTGGCCTCCACATCCTGCAGCAGCCTGTGGCCGGCTTGGGGGGAAGCAGCCGGATGCGAACCCAGCGGCGGCAGGGGAAGCGGCGGCTCCCCCTTGCTATTGGGGATTTCAGCGCCCGCATACCCCCTCCTGTGTCTCGTACCACAAATTGAGAAACTGTGTTCTAAATAGTGGACCTGAGCCGAAGGGCCTCAGCTAGAGGAAAAGGGGCAGAAGCCAAAAAAGCTGAAGCCCAAACAAGGGTTGGGATCTGAGTGGCCCAGTGCTGATTCTGTGTAGAGAGAGAGAGAGTGTGTGAGGAAGAAGATCTCTACAAAGGGCAGATGGAGATCATCAGTGAGGCATGGGCATGGCTTCAGGGGTGAAAGAAAGCCACTATAGTATTCCTAAGGCACCAAGGAAAGGACTATCCAGTCTCAAGGGCAACCGCCTCTGAATATATACAGATTACCATCAGGTCCTAGGAGGTGAGAAGCAGGAGATGGAATAACCTGGGGAATACAGACAGGAAGAGGCAAGGACTGGAGCCCTGACCTGTCACAGGGAGGAAGGAGCAAACCTAATTTTCTCTGATTCTATGAATATGTTCCTGCCCTCCACCTGTGCTGCAGCAGGTGCTGCTGTGCCCCTTTCCAAACCTGTTCCCAATGGAGATGTCTACTTCTGCCCACCTACCCCACACTTCAGCAGAGGAAGCAGTGTTTCATGGGGCTGTGGAGTTGGCTTTGCACCCATCAGAAATCATACCCGTAGTATGATTCTGGATTTGAATCAAAGGCAGTAATTTGGAAACCAAAACACTGGGAAGATAAAAGAGCAGAACTAGGACCCATCTAGCCCCTGCCACATTCCTAGAGCTCCACATGCAGCATGAGTAAGTCCTGTGAGACAGAGCCTCTCTCAGCACTTGCAGCATTCCCTTTCCCACTGCATCCAAATGCCACAGCAGGGCCTGATTCTGTACTGTTCTGCATGTGTAAATCACTGCCTTTGGAGGGAGCTCTCCATTCTGACCCCCCACAGAGCTAAGCCTAGGGAATTCATCATTGCTTGCGAGGGCTGTAATGTGTGTTATTTAAACATGTTTGCATGCTTGTAAGCCTCTCATTTTTGTGTGTGCAGAAACAACATAATAATTGCAAGTTATCCTTCATTCCCTACTTTTCAAAAGAATGTCCTTTAAGATTGAGGCCCAGAGGAGCTCCAGTAACTAAAATCAATGCTAGGATGGAGAGTTTTGGCTTTGTTTCTTGTATTATTCAAGAAAAATCCTAAATGTACAGGGAGGAAGTGACATACACGTACTGTTCATGATGAGAACACATAGCAAATGGAAAACAAATGGCAGGAGCATTCAGGAAGCTTGGCTTCAGATATACTTCAATCTTTTGTATTCCCAGGATAAAAATAACAAGTACAATCTCCTGACTGTCTTTGGACTGAGAAAAAATACAAACAACAGTGGCTGGAGAGGGAATCAAAACTTTTGATGAGTAGTAATTCATTTAGCTTTGAATTCAACTTTCTGCAGAGATTTATATTAATTCTGGTTGTCTACATTTATAGGCTAGATTCATAGGGTCACAGGCAGGTAGGGCTGGAAGGGACAGCCTTCAAGGCAGAATCATCCTGATTAAACCATCCCAGCTAAAATTCCTTTGCTGCAGTTTGAGTCCTAGTCCTGTTCCCTACAGCCACAGAAAGAAGCCCATCGCCATCCTCTCTATAATCACCCTTTAGCTATTTGAAGACTAATATCAAATTCCCCTCATATCAAATTCCACCTTCTCCAGGATAAATAACCCTAGTTCTTTCAGTCTTTCCTCCTAAGTCATGCTTCCTAGGCCCCTAATAACTTTTGTCATTATGCTCTGGACTCTTTCTAATCTGTCCACAACCTTCTTGATGTGTGGGGCCCAGAACTGGGCACAGCACTCCAAGTGAGGTCTTGCCAGTGCTGAATAGAGCAGAAAAATCACTTCTCTTGATTTGCAAGTGACATCCCTGTTAATACAACTCAATATGCTTTTGGCTTTTTTGGCAACAAGAGCACACTATTGACTCATATTCAACTTATGTATACTGTAAACTCCAGGTCCTTCTCTGCAAGACTGCAGCTTTTGTTCCCCAGCCTGTATTTGTGCATGCACTTATTCCATCCCAGGTGTAGGACTTTGCACTTGTTGATTTTTAGCTGATTGATTGGAGAACATTTTTCTGGTACCTCCAGGTCGTTCTGGATCCTAGGACTGCCCTCCAGAATAGCTGCAATTCCACCCAATTTGGTGTTGTCCACTGATTTGCTAAGCATGCACTCAATCTCACAGTCCAAATAATGAATTAAGATACTAAACAACAGTGGAGCTAAAACATACCTCTAGGGATGCCTCCTCCCAACCAGACATTGAGTCAACAAGCATTTGTTGAGCATGATGATCCAACCAGTTATGTATCCACCTTACAGTACTTTCATCTAGTCTGTATTTCTTTAGCTTGTTAATGAGTGTCAAAAGCCTGGTTAAGTATACCACATCCCCGTTTCTTCCCTCATCCACAAAGCCCGTCACTTTATCATAGAAGGAAATCAGTTGGTCAGTAATGACTTGCACTTTCTGAATCCATAATATTCCTGATTATCTTGTTCTCCACTAGATGCTTATAGGGTCTAGGCTCAATTTAATTGAGCCTAGACCCTATTGTGTGTACTGCAACCAGGCACTTCCCTGACCTTGACCATCAGTATCATGATCACTTGCCTGTATGTCGTAGTGGTGGTCCCAACTCTCACCTGCCATGTCTTGATGTTTAAAGATGATCTCAATCAGGGGGTGGTAATTATACCCACCGCTAGACAATGTTATACAGAAATAGGTCTCTTCTGGGGCTCCGACCTCCCCTGTGCCCCAGCCTAGTGCCACCCATATGTTACGCCGCCGTTCATTGGCATCGGTCTTAACAGGCAACTTTTTCTTTCTATTTCAGGCTCTCACGCATCTTGACAGCTATCTCGACAAAATAGAGTCACTGTGGACTACCAGACTTCTTCTTCGGTCTTGGGTGAGTCCAGCATTTGATCTTTCGAGAGTTAAGCCCTCTAGTAGCACTAACACTTAAAAGAAAACAACAAAAAGAAAAGAAATAGAGCCCATCTGGGCTGATGTACCTGGGTCTCAGGGTATATTACACAGTCTGGGGATTTTTTTTCCCCTTTTTAGTGCCAGGTGGTCCCTGGTTGTCTGCTCCAGTACACTGCTGGCTTGCAGAGACCAAGGTATGTCAGATCAAACAAAAAAAAGAGCGAAAAAAAGTAACTAAATATCAGGACCTTATAAGGAGGCGCAGCCACTCTCCTTTCCGCTGGCCTCTTCCTCCATGGCAGGTCCCCCGCTGCTTGTGCTGGTCCGCACTTCTCTCCTTTGCCAGCTCCTGCTGGCTCTCAGTAAGTACTTTCTGTGTTTCCTTTTCTTCATAATGCTTAACAATGGATTCCTTAAGGACCTGCTCCATGATCTTTCCAAGTATAGAGGTCATGCTGACTGGTCTCTAGTTCCCTGGATCCTCCTTCTTCCCTTTCTTTAAGATGGGCACTATATTTTCCCTTTTCCAATCATCCATAGCCTCCAAAATCTCTCAAAGAGAATGGCTCCAAAATGACCTAAGCCAATTCCTTCAGGTCTCCTGTTTTAGGTTTACTGACTTGAAAACATCTAGCTTCTCAAAGTAATCCTTAACTTGTTATTCCACTAATCTAGCCTGTTTGTCTCTTTCC